ACAACACGATTTTGGCTTTACGCACTGTCCCTGGAACGTAACGGCCACGTAAGTTGAGAGTCGGCTGTATTATGGGTGAGGCTGGGATGTAACAGCTTCCCTTAAGCAGCTGAGTGACTTACATAGTTTATGATGAAGTGTTTCACTGCTGATGGAATTCAGGCCTGGTTAGGTATTTTCACTACATATATATATATAAAAGCATTTACGTAGGTCCCAGACTTTTGGAATGCTTACAATCACTGACAAGACACTTCTAGATTGGTGCTGATGTTTCCCAATATGATGCTTGCAATTTTACTGTGGTGGCATTAGTATTTTAGCATAGCCTAATTATTGCTTTTCATGAACCCCAACACATAATGTTGTATGTCATGCTGAACTACTTTTAATTTCACAGCTGAACACATTTCTATTGCTATCATCCTCCTCTCCAAACCTCTTCTTAGCTTTCTCTCTAGAGGGCATGCAAGGTGTATGGCTCCTTCAGGAGGCAACGTCAGTAGAATCCACTGATCACCCCCCTGGGAATAAAATCTAATCCTAGATGCCTTTTCAAATATACCTGCATCACAGTTTTCTCTTAGCACTCTGCTTGTGTTGACATTGATCCAGCACCCAAAAAAATCCTAATTGCTCATATGTCATGGAAGCAGGTGCCCTGGCTGCATGGGGAACTGCCTTGCCATGTTGTGTGCTCTAGCACTGGAATGGGAAAGTGCACAGCCTTCAAACATAACTTTTTAAAGTGAAGAAGCAGGATGTTGTTGCGTGGAGAAGGATAGAAATTGTGGTTTATTGCATGTTAAAGGCTAGATTATGACTCACAAACATCTATTTTTTTTAAAAAAAAGATGTTCAGAGAAATCGCAAGTAAGGACACTTCTTTCATGGCTCATGAGGTCAAAGGCATTATTCTTTAGGTTCACACACAGTCATCACATCACTGTTCTGGGCATTAAATTACTACATTCATATATCACCCCATACATTTGTGCAGGGGAGGAGCCTGTCGCAGTTAGTCACAGTAGTCGGTTTCTGGTAACAAATCCACAGGACATGACAAGGTCAAGGCTTGCTCTACTGTTAGGCAGAGTGAGGCAGCCACCTCAGACAGCAGGTGCTGAAGGGTGGAAACAGTGGGGAAGCGCTGGAGGGCAGAATTTTGTGAACATGTGACCTGCTCCATGTTCTTAAACCAAGCCTGCTGCCTTTGGGTGTAGTGAAGAAATCTGCTCCATTTTAAGTGTTGAAGTAAGATTCAGCTGCCAGTGGCATTTATACATGGAATAGAAATAGGCACCATCTCATCCAGTGCTCCTCGATCAGACTCAGGTTCTGGAAGATCTCCAGTGGAGACTCCTAGGAAATACAAGATAGTTCTGGCTTGGAGACAGCCCAGTCAGAGTCCTGGGTCATTAATACAGAAAAGTAATCAAATTGGAAGCAGACTGGAATCTTACTAGATATACGGTACTTATGCTATTTTTGACAACATTTAATGCTGAAGTCCATGAGTTATTTGTGATTCTAGTTTTGGTTTTTTTAAGTGGTTTTGAGTGACTAGTGTCAGAAACTCAAATACTGTTCTGATCACTCATCCAGTCAAACATTTTTTTTCCATTTATTGTGTGGACAAACCTTTAAATTCCTATATGAGATGTTAGGCCTGCTTTTGAAGCCAATGAAAAACCAAGACAGCACTCCAGTGATGCCTTTGAAGGTTATCTGTTCAGCCCACCTTTTAAATTATGAATCCTCATGATTTAGGCAAATGAATTGTGGAGTATATCAAATATTCACTGTGTGATTGATTAATCAAACAGTTGGCTTTCATGCAATCCAGCTGAGCAGAGCCAAATATTCACAGCAAAGTTCACATCCATCAAAGCACCTCACTTGGATAATCTGAACTGAGAAAAAAGCTTGCCTGGATTAAAATCAACAAATTGCTCTTTGGCATCTTAGTTGGCAACAGCAGAGTGCCAAGTTCAAATCGGGGCTCCCAAAAATCAAGCATTGTTGCCTTACCTCTAATACTGCTGATGTTGTTTCTGCTGTAAGCCTGGCAGAAACTGAGCGTTGTACTTCAAGGATCCATCTAGGTTACAGTGAAAGCCTGCCTGACAATTTACTAAGACCCAATGACTGTCTACCAGGTTCTAAAAAGGTAGAGCTGTGTGGTAATACAGCTTACAATTCATTCCAATTAATTTATCTGTAATGTGAGTTCCCACTTTCCAGTTCCCATCCCTGGATAGACTGTATTGCTCCACGGCAGAAGAGGCCTTCCACTTATAAGTTAGTTAGTGTGTAAGGTAGGCAAAGGGAACTGGTGGCTCTCCAGATAATGATGGACTTCAGCATCCATCAGCCCCAGCCGGCATGTTGGTAATGTTTAGTTAGCAATGATAGGCACACATAGAAACAGGGAAATGTGGCCAGGGGGGCAGGGCTCACTAGACCCATAAGTGATTAAATGCAATGAAATGTATTCATTGCATTCGATCTCCTTGCAAATTGGGTTCTCTTAGGCTTTTATCAAAATGAACCTTTGAATGAAAAGCAAATAAGCAGGTCTATGTTTCCTGTTTGAGGTTCCCCCCAGGTGTAGACTTACCTGGAAGCAACAACTAGATTCGGGAAGCTGCCTGTCATTTAAATTTCCCACAATGACTTGGGGCATGGTTTCCCAGACCTGTAGCTGAGGTCAACAGCAAATCTTACCCTGCCATGCCCCCTGTGACAATGGGATCAGCTGTGTAGGAGTGCCAAAGCAGGTGTCCACAGCAATGGGTCATGCCAGAGTGGTTGAGCTCTGGAAACTCTTGCGTTGTTGGCTGGAAGACTTGAACCAAACATGCCAAAGCATGGTCATACCTAGGTCATACAGAATTAATCAAAAAGTTCTAAAGCGAGCCAGTTAGAATCTGTAGCCTTGTGGAAGGTGCTGAAAAAAATGTGCTGATTATTTATGTAGGGAAAGAGCCCTTATTTGTGTTAGCTCAACCTCCCACCCCAACCCTTTCATATATGCAGACTAGGACAATGTAATCCTCTGGAGGCTAGATGCGGTGGCATGGTTTTCTCTCTCTTCCTGATTCAGCTTTCAACCTGAGTATAAATGCTATTATGATGACATTCTGTCTTCCATGTCAAAGATCACTGAAGAAACAATGGGCAAAAACCCTGGAATATTTGAAGAAGTTTACACAAGGTGCTGGGCATAAATAGCGATGCTTTTTAATGCGTATCAGATAGTCGGCAGCTGTGGGTCAAATTTTTAATTGGAGTACTGTAACCCTCCTGAGCTTGACATGTGCTCATTAACTAAGGCCAATTTTAAATGTGTCCCCAAAGGGCTGTTGTTGACTGCAGGTCTGTTTGCTGGAATTTGAAAGACTTTCTTGAAGTTGTCTTGTTTTGTTTGGGATTGATCAAACAAGATGTATGCTAAGGGATCTGGTTATTGGATTGTCATAAAGCATAAAACACCCCTAAAAGCTTTACACAACTATTATTAAGAAACAACATTCAATACATATGCATTTCATATGATGACGTGATCATATCAAAGCTCCCATATGTTCTAAGAACAAAACCTGTCACACTTTGCTTTGAGCAGGATGGAGAGGAGCAGCTGTGATTGTATGTGGATGCAGTAGTGAGACAATTGGACCAGGGTTCAAATTGCCACTCAGTCATGAAGCTCGCCTTGGGCCATTCACAGTCTCTCAGCCTAACCTACCTCACAGGGCTGTTGTGAGGAGAGGGCGGAACTGTGTTCACCACCTTAAGCTCCTTGGAGGAGAGGTGAGCTCGAAATGTAATAATAAATGTCGGTCAGAGGTGGAGAACATGTGATATAATTTCATGTGGGAGTGGAGAAGAGGATAAGGAGGAGAAAATGGGAAGAGGAAAGTGGAAACAGATGGATATATGGAAGGATCTTTATCACTCTGCAAGTGAGCCATTCAGTTATCTGTCCTTCTCCAGGCAGATAACTGGGCAGTGAGAAAGAGAGCGAGAGACAAGAGAGGGCTAAGGAATGTCAAAGAGAGGTAGAGTTTGACTCCACCCACTTTGGTTTTGACTCTGCCCACTTTATCATCTGGTTGTGCCCGCTGCTGGCATGCAGCCCCTGACAGATTACCCCTGGTTACCATCCTGCCCACACATTTAATGAGCATGCATGAAGGAGGCATGCATGAAGTAGGCTAATGTAAAGGCTGACCTCATGCTGTGTATAGAACATGTGTGGACACAGTAGACAAACATATTTCCATACAGGGTAATGGTGTAAATTGGTGAGTGCATGTTGGTTTGTTTTCTGGAATAGAAAAGAAAAAACTCTCTTCCAATTGCCACTTGATCTTCATTGTGGCTCGAAACAGCATTCCTTTTATTTGGCCCAAGGCAATTTTGGTCATTTGGAAGAACAGACAAATGGTTGCATTAAAGAAATGTTACCACAGCAAGAATATGCTTAGGAACCATATTTGTTTTCCTTTTTAATACAAAGGTTTGATTTGTTTTGATTTGTCTGAGTTTCTCTTTAATTGTAACAACCCCAAGTGGCTGATAAAAAGCCGACATTTTCCCTGCAGCAGTATCTCATTGCTATTCTTTCATTAGAAGTGCCACTATGGGGTGGGTGATAGTAATATTGACTTTTTAATAGAGATCACAATGCACTTTATAGTGGCCAGAATTTCTTTAAAAGGCAGCACTTTGACACTTGGCATTTTGTCTTCCTCCTGCTCCCCCTCCTCCTCCTCCACCTCTATGTATATGTATATGAGAACTGTATTTTCATCTTGGGGTGGGGACTCAGAGGTGTGATTTTTATTTTTATTTTTGATTGTGAAGATTTTTATGAAGTGCTTATATTTACAAGCTTTTGTTTTATTTTGTGAATTTGCAGTTAAGCCACCCAGAGTGGCTGGGGAAACTCAGCCGGATGGGTGGGTTATAAATAACACAATTTTTATTTGTATTGGTATTAGTAGTAGTAGTATTAATGCATTTAGTTGATAGGGACTGCTTTTTTTGTTCAGTGCTGGAACTTGTGTAGTTCTGTGTTTTCCAAACTACCCCAAATCACTGATTGTTCCTTTCAAAAGGCTAGGATGCTAGTGAATTGCATGCATCAGGTGAAAGCAACAGCTGGGCATGGTGGGTGATTGATTGGGAGGGGCATAGGAATTGCACTTGTACCTACCAAAGGTTCATTCCACTGTAGCTGTTCATAGTTTCAACATCAGAGTAAGGTAGAGAGCTCTGCAGACTGAACTGGGATTTTGATTCAGATCTCTAAGGTTTGGGTAGAAGTGATAGAGCTCTATGGTGGCACCAGTGACTGCTTAGTTAGAAAGGTAGAGAATGTGAGGACAACAGGACAGGTTTTACTTCTGCACCTGTTGTAAAGGTACAAATTCATCTAGGATAATGTTTCTGTTGATGATAATTAGTCAGATATATTAACCCAGGAAGGGCATTCCACAAACTGCTCCTCTGCTGATTGTAGGGTCTGGTATGGTTGATATTGGGGGAGACACTCTTTTGCAAATAATTTTTTATTAGTTTTCCGATATTACCCCAATAATAACCCTATTATAACACTACCAGTTAATACCCAGTTAAGACGTTTAGGCTCCCTGTGTGGTGGATTTGATGCATTCCTAATCTTATATTTCTGTGTTCCATGATTTTATTAATTTTGGTTACATTCCAGTTAAAATAGTAATCCCTTATACTGCGGCTGCATTCTTAATGATTTGTATTTGTGTTATTGTGTTATTTTACTTTATAGAACATCATAACGGTTATCGTTGTTCTGTCCTGCATATGAAGGCTGTTGTGTCCATGATGATTCTTTCTGACCATATATGGTGGTATATCTTGCCCTTACTCAGCTGTTGTTGTCTCCCAACATGACTTGGGATGGAACTGTTATCCTGAGGCATCTTGAAAGTCTCTGCATCCCTCCACCCCATCATTCAATGTTTCCAAACATACAACAATCCACTCTGTTCCACTGGTTAAAGTGGGTCGCAGATCTTATCCATTTCTTCCTCAGTCTGGGAAGAGTGGACTATTTTCAAATGCAAGCTTAGATGATTTAATGCTCCTTTTCAACTCACAAGACCTCTGTGTTGCCTTTTTTCCACAGCCCACAGTTTCCTTTCATCCTTACAGCTGAGATTTATGGCCAATTATCATTCAACTTAATCCTCTCAGTCTGCCCCCCCCCCACCTTCCCTGCTATAAAAAGTGGAAAGGGAAGGCATTCTTTTGAGGTACTTGGGTTCCAAGCCATTTAGGGCTTTATGCACTGGTACTAATATCTTGAATTGAGCTCACTAACTACACCCCCCCTCCTCTCATGATGAAGTGTGTGGTGCAGTTAATTGCTATCAAGGTTTTAGTGTAGCAGTGGTGATCTTCATTCATAGAATCATAGAGTTGGAAGAGACCACAAGGGCCATCGAGTCCAACCCCCTGCCAAGCAGGAAACACCATCAGAGCACTCCTGACATATGGTTGTCAAGCCTCTGCTTAAAGACCTCCAAAGAAGGAGACTCCACCACACTCCTTGGCAGCAAATTCCACTGTCGAACAGCTCTTACTGTCAGGAAGTTCTTCCTAATGTTTAGGTGGAATCTTCTTTCTTGTAGTTTGGATCCATTGCTCCGTGTCCGCTTCTCTGGAGCAGCAGAAAACAACCTTTCTCCCTCCTCTATGTGACATCCTTTTATATATTTGAACATGGCTATCATATCACCCCTTAACCTCCTCTTCTCCAGGCTAAACATGCCCAGCTCCCTTAGCCGTTCCTCATAAGGCATCGTTTCCAGGCCTTTGACCATTTTGGTTGCCCTCCTCTGGACACGTTCCAGTTTGTCAGTGTCCTTCTTGAACTGTGGTGCCCAGAACTGGACACAGTACTCCAGGTGAGGTCTGACCAGAGCAGAATACAGTGGCACTATTACTTCCCTTGATCTAGATGCTATACTCCTATTGATGCAGCCCAGAATTGCATTGGCTTTTTTAGCTGCCGCGTCACACTGTTGGCTCATGTCAAGTTTGTGGTCAACCAAGACTCCTAGATCCTTTTCATATGTACTGCTCTCAAGCCAGGTGTCACCCATCTTGTATTTGTGCCTCTCATTTTTTTGCCCAAGTGCAATACTTTACATTTCTCCCTGTTAAAATTCATCTTGTTTGTTTTGGCCCAGTTCTCTAATCTGTGAAGGTCGTTTTGAAGTGTGATCCTGTCCTCTGGGGTGTTAGCCACCCCTCCCAGTTTGGTGTCATCTGCAAATTTGATCAGGATGCCCTTGAGTCCATCATCCAAGTCGTTGATAAAGATGTTGAATAAGACCGGGCCCAAGACAGAACCCTGTGGCACCCCACTAGTCACTCTTCTCCAGGATGAAGAGGAACCATTGATGAGCACCCTTTGGGTTCGGTCAGTCAGCCAGTTACAAATCCACTGAGTGGTAGCATAATCAAGACCACATTTTACCAGCTTCTTTACAAGAATATCATGGGGCACCTTGTCAAATGCCTTGCTGAAATCAAGGTAGGCTACATCCACTGCGTTCCCTTCATCTACCAGGCTTGTAATTCTGTCAAAAACGAGATCAGGTTAGTCTGACATGACTTATTTTTCAGAAATCCATGCTGACTATTGGTGATCACAGCATTCCTTTCTAGGTGCTCACAGACTGTTTGCTTAATGATCTGCTCCAGAATCTTCCCTGGTATTGATGTCAGACTGACTGGGCGGTAATTATTTGGGTCCTCTCTTTCCCCCTTTTTGAAAATAGGGACAACATTTGCCCTCCTCCAGTCTGCCGGGACTTCGCCTGTTCTCCAGGAATTCTCAAAGATGACTGCCAGTGGTTCTGAGATCACCTCTACCAGTTCTTTTAATACTCTTGGATGCAGTTCATCTGGCCCTGGAGACTTGAATACATCTAAACTAGCCAAGTATTCTTGTATGTATTTTTGAGGAAGTGCTGTGGACACCACAAACTCTGGACAGTTCTTTTTTACCTTCTCCCCAGAGTGTCACTCTTCCAAGCTCCTCTTTTCAGCCCTATGGACTTTTCAAGGGGGAAAGGGGAAATATCTGCACCACCTCATTACCTCAAGGCCACCATTGTGCCCATGAACACCACAGTGACAGTCCCTGTTTTAGGGTGACAAGGAAGGAGGAGGAAATGTCATTCGTTAGTGATATGGTGTCAGAAAGCATGTTCTGGAATACAGATCTTGCATGCCCTCAACTTGTCAGTTCTGGGAATCCAGGTTTTGATATACACATGTCTCCATCTTTTATGAGGAAGAAAACCAAAGTCAGATTTTTCTCTTTCTCTTAAAATGACAGGAGTTTCATGCTACACACCTTTAATCTTACATCTTCTTTCTGTCTGAACCTTTGTCATTCATAACACAGTCACGTTGCTCAGGAGAGTCTCTTTAGATGGAATCTATCTCTGAGAGCTTAAGTCAAGGGATTTTCAAACAGTCACCTTAATTTAAGTATGTGAATGCATAGCTAATGAAGGGGGGTTGGGCCAAGGCTCTTCTGATAACATTAAAGTCAGGAAACCCTTGATAATTATGACTTGATAGCTATCCTTTGTGTTCTGTAACTTGCAAACATCATATTATCTGCTGCAGACCACAAGGGCAGAAGCAGTCTTCAGCAGAGGGAAGAGTACTGGGCCAAAAACAAACAAGAAAGGTGGAGAGAATTTAAATACCAATTTCCTTTGAAACAATTTATTTGCATTTTCTTTTTATATACATTTATATCCTGCCTTATTGCCGAATCCTTAGATCAGCAGATTTGGTGCCAAGAACCTTGAAAAATACATAGGGCTGAAAGTGCAAGTGGAGAAAGAGCTTTCCTCTTCCTACTTCCTCCAGTATACAGTACTTTTAAAGGGAAAATATGTAGACATTCATGGATAAGTGGAGGGGCTGCAGAGGCCAAGGGAACTCCTCAAGGATGCCACTGCATCTATGAACACAATATTGGCAGTGACAGCATATGATCGAGATGCTACAGGAACTTGGGAAGCTGCCTTATCCTGAGTCAAGCCATTGGTCCATTTATACTGATTCAGACCACTGGTAGCAATTTACCAGAGTTTTATATAAGGGATATTCTCAGTTCTACCCGGAGATGCCAGGGACTGAACTTAGAACTCTTCTGCATGCAAAGCAGCTGCTCTACCGCTAATTCTATTTTATTTTTTCTCTTTTTTGTAACATTTTGAAAATCTCAATAAATATCTTTAAAAAAAAAAAAAAAAGAGAAAGCAAGCAGAAAAGCATGCAGAGCATCCAAGCAGTAAAGTACCCAGACAGAAGACATGGGGCACACCTGGCAGTCATGAGCTCAAAAGCTGCCCATAGTGCAACAGTATGGAAGTAGTAGCTAACCTTTTGTAAACAAGGCACAAGTCAAGTAATTAGAAAAAAAAGTATTTTTCTACAGACTGCACACCCACATACACATCCTGGTGTGGTTTTGCCTGTAGCTGACCAATCTAGAGAACAGAGGGCAGTGTGTTGTTGGAAAGACATGCAAAAGAGGCAGTTTGATCCTATGCTATAATCAGGTCTGTAGGCACTCCTGCTCCTCTCTAGGAATGCAACAGATCTCTGCTGCCTATGCCAATTGAGACATTTGTGATTCAGGCTTACCACCATTTGCCTAGGAATCAGTTCCATGAGTCTCTAATGAAAAGTCAAACTCATTTTTTTCTTGTTGTGAACCTAATCAGGGCCTGTATCCTTTCCAAGTACCCTGCTGATTGTGTCTCAGTTGCTTCCTCTTGACTTGGAGTCAAACTACATGTTTCAGTAGAAATGGGAGGGTGAAATGTAGAAGGGGGCTTGCCTTTAACCTTTTAAAAAAGTTATCTGCTAAAGGATATAGCTTGTTCCCTAGATTCCCCTCCCCAACCTTAATGTCAGCAAATTTGATTTCCCTTCACTCTTTTAATTGCATATTATAAACTTTTGGACCAGTTCACTGGTGCATAAGCTACTTTTTAAATATACTACTCAGTTAATTATTTCTGTTTATTTAAAAACACACATGGGTTCTGTGAACTTTTTAAAAATATCATTCTAAGTGGCTTAAATAAAGTCTCTGTGTGTGTGTGTGTGTGAGAGAGAGAGAGAGAGAGAGAGAGAGAGAGAGAGAGAGAGAGAGAAGCCTAAATGTTATTTGGCCTTTCTCCCAAACCATCATCAGTCATTAGGTGAGTGCAGCCCTTTTTGCCTTTTTAAAAAATAAAAAAATCCTTAGTCTAGCTGACTTAACATTCAACCACAGTTGCTTTTTGAGGTTTCTATTCTTTATTGAAATGGTCCTTTTAATGTCATCTTTAATTTAATCAGGTAATGTCATCAAAATAGCATTTACTCTGTTACTGCAAATTCACTGCATTATTAACTAGTGTAACTAGACAAAAAGATGGCATAAACCCCAATGGAAATAATGTACTCACAGTAAAATTGATACAGTTCATGGAGGTTATATATTTAATCTTGCAATTTCAAAGCATGCTCGCTCTCTCAAAATAATTTATGGTTCTGAAATAATTTACTAGAATCTATTATAGGTTCCTATCCATCTGTTTGTTTTTGATGCAATCTCATAATGATTTTAACAATGTGGTGACATAAAAGTAATTTTGGAACTCTACTTTCTCCTTGGGTTGGAATGGCTGTTGGCTGTAACTCTCCCTGTGACTCTAAGACAAAGGGAAGAATGTGAGTTTGTTTTTAAAGGGTGATATCCAGTGTTAGTCATACACAGGGGAGACCCTCAATGAAGGGTGGTATTCAATGCTAGACCTCAGGGTAAACCCATTGAAGTTAATGAACATAATTTCAATGGGTCTACTCTGAGTAGGGCTTAGTTTAACACAGCTCTGTCAGTATGGCGTAGTTAGGTATCACCCCCAAAGAAAGGATGAAAGGAGTGAGCCTTGTGCCATAATACTTTTGTTAGTCTTCAGGCTGCCACAGTAGTATTTGCTGGTTTTGCTGCAACAGACTAACATGAATGCTTAAAAAAAAAAAAAAAATCCCTCCAAAATGAGGCTATGAATACCCCCATGGTCACTACCTTAAGCTCAGTCTTAAAAGGAATGGTGGGATACAAATGTGGTGATCAGACAAACATAGGTATTTTTTTTACTGACATTGGACAGACACTACCCCCCCCCATTGATATCTCAGAGCCAAACGAATCTTATCCAGCCTGATGAAGAGTGCTCACTCTTTTGTAACATTTTGGTTTGTCCTAATAAAGTTATGGACCATCTATGAATTCTGGAATAATTAAATTTAGACACCACAAAATTAGCCTTGATCGGCTCCATATATAGTCGAAAGATAGCCAGCTTTGATTGATTTTTTAATATGAGAAAATTGCATTCCTCTTTGATCATACAGTGTTACGAATATAAGGAGAGTCCTGATGGATCGTGTCAAAGGTCCACCTCTTCCAGCATCCTGTTCTCTCAGAGGTCAGCCAGATGCCTATGGGAGGCCTTCAAGTAGGACTTGTACAAAAAAGTTCTCTCCTCTTGTGGTTCCAGGCAACTGGTATTCAGAGACACACTGTCTCTGATACTGGAGGAAGTTCACAGCCATCATGGCTAGTAGTCATTTATTTATTTATTTTTAAATGATATTCATTAAGGTTTCCAAAAAAGAGAAAAGTTACATATATATAAAAAAAGAAAAATAGAAAAAATACAAAATACAAAATACAGAAAAAATAAAAAAGATTTTAAAAAACAAATCATTCTTTCCATGCCTTACATTTCATTTACTTGTTTCCCTGACCTCCTCACGCCTCCCTTTTTTGTATTCCAGTTCAGTTAATTAATTCAGCAATTCCTTTCCCTCTTTGTTTTTATCTTAATCCTTTAACTTAATATATTATAGGTTTAGATTCTCACCTGTTAACAATCCATTTTTACATACACCTTTATAACATTGCTGCTAAAACCACTTAACTTCATTCTGACATCATTCTAACATTCATTAATTTTACAATATTTCTGTAAATAGTCTTTAAATTTCTTCCAATCTTCTTCCACCGACTCTTCTCCCTGGTCTCGGATTCTGCCAGTCATTTCCGCCAATTCCATGTAGTCCATCACCTTCATCTGCCATTCTTCCAGAGTGGATAGATCTTGTGTCTTCCAATACTTTGCAATAAGTATTCTTGCTGCTGTTGGGGCATACATAAAGAAAGTTCTGTCCTTCTTTGGCACCATTTGGCCGACCATGCCCAGGAGAAAGGCCTCTGGTTTCTTCAGAAAGGTATATTTAAATACCCTTTTCATTTCATTATAAATCATCTCCCAGAAAGCCTTAATCCTTGGGCACGTCCACCAAAGGTGAAAGAATGTACCTTCGGTTTCTTTACATTTCCAACATTTATTATCGGGCAAATGATAGATTTTTGCAAGCTTGACTGGTGTCATGTACCACCTGTATATCATTTTCATAATATTCTCTCTTAAGGCATTACATGCCGTAAACTTCATATCTGTGGTCCATAACTGTTCCCAGTCAGCCATCAATTTGTTATGTCCAACATCTTGTGCCCATTTAATCATAGCAGATTTCACCGTTTCATCCTGAGTATTCCATTTCAACAGCAAGTTATACATCTTTGACAAAATCTTGGTTTTGGGTTCTAACAGTTCTGTTTCCAATTTTGATTTTTCCACCTGGAAGCCAATTTTCTTGTCCAAATTATATGCCTCCATTATCTGATAATAATGAAGCCAATCTCGCACTTTATTTTTTAGTTTTTCAAAACTCTGCAATTTCAATTTGTCCCCTCTTGTTCCAAAATTTCCCAATATTTCGGCCATTTGGCCTCCATATTGAGCTTTTTCTGAGCCTTCTCTTCCATCGGTGACAACCACCTTGGGGTTTTATTTTCAAGTAGGTCCTTGTATCTTATCCAGACATTAAACAATGCTTTCCTGACAATATGATTTTTAAATGCTTTATGTGCTTTGACCTTATCATACCACAAATATGCATGCCATCCAAATACATTATTAAAACCTTCTAAATCCAAAATGTCTGTGTTTTCAAGAAGTAGCCACTCTTTCAGCCAGCAAAAAGCTGCTGATTCATAATAAAGTTTAAGGTCTGGCAGGGCAAATCCACCTCTTTCCTTTGCATCCGTTAGTATTTTAAATTTTATTCTAGGCTTCTTGCCCTGCCAGACAAATCTAGAAATATCTCTCTGCCACTTCTTGAAGCAATCCATTTTATCCAAAATTTGCAATGTTTGAAACAGAAACAACATTCTAGGCAATACATTCATTTTTATCGCAGCAATACGGCCTAGCAGTGAAAGCTTCAAATTTGACCAAATTTCTAAATCTTTTTTCACTTCAATCCAGCATTTTTCATAATTGTCTTTAAATAGATTCCCATTTTTAACTGTCATGTTAATCCCCAGGTATTTCACTTTCTTAACCACTGTTAAACCTGTCTCATTCTGAAACCTCTCTCTCTCAATCGCTGTTAAATTTTTCTCTAAGACCTTTGTTTTTGACTTACTCAGTTTAAATCCTGCAACCTGACCAAATTCTTGAATCAGTTCCAAAACTCTTTTGGTACTAGATTCTGGCTCCTGTAATGTCAGTACTAAGTCATCTGCAAATGCTCTCAATTTGTACTGTTTAGCTCCGACTTGTATACCTTTAACCAATTGGTCCCTTCTAATCATGTTCAGCAGGACCTCCAGGACCGATATAAAAAGCAATGGGGAGATTGGGCAGCCTTGTCGTGTCCCTTTTTCTATCTTAAATTCCTCCGTCACCACGTTATTAACAATTAATTTAGCCTTTTTTTCTGAATAAATTGCACTTATACCGTTTCCAAAGCCTTGGCCTACCCCCATCCCCTGTTGATTCTTCTTCATGAAACTCCAAGAAATGTTGTCAAAAGCTTTCTCCGCGTCCACAAATATCAAAACTGCCTTGGTGTTAATATTCACTTGTAATTTTTCTAAAATATTGATTATATTTCTCATATTATCAGACAAGTGTCTACCCGGAGAAAGCCTGCTTGATCTTTATGAATCTCTTCCACTAACAGTTTTTTTGTCTTTTAGCCAAAATGTCTGCAAAGATTTTATAATCCACATTAAGCAGTGATATGGGGCGGTAGTTCTTAAGCTGCGTTTTTTCAGTCTCTGTCTTCGGTACAAGTGTAATATACGCTTCTTTCCACGACTCTGGT